TTAGGGTTTTTAGGGTTTAGGGTTAGAGCGGCTCATTGCCTCTGTAGCTGAGCCTACACCAGCAGCAACACCAGCAACAGCAGCAGCAACGACAGCAGCAACAGCAATGCAGCAGCAGCACCAGCAAAAACAGCAATAGCACCAGCAGCAGCACCAGCAGCAACAGCAGCAGCAGCAGCGACACCAGCAGTAGCAGCAGCAACAGCAGCAACAGCAGCAACAGCAGCAGTAACTAGAACAGCAGCAGCAGCAGCAGCTGCTGCAGCAGCAGCAAGGTTGCTGCTGCTATCATACAGCCTCCAAATTTGATTTGGCCTATCAGGGCATTTGCTGCTGCTGCTGCTGCTGCTGCTGCTGCTGCTGCTGCTGCTGCTGCTGCAGTATGCTATAAGAAACTTGCAGCAACAGCAGCAGCAGCAACAGCAGCAGCAGCAGCAGCAGCAGGAGTAGCAGCAGCAGCAATAGCAGCAGCAGCAGAGCTGCCAGGAGGAGAAGCAAAGAAGGTACTCACAGCAGCATAGTAAAAGTAGCAGCAGCAGCAGCAACAGCAGCAACAGCAGCAGCAGCAGCAGCAGCAGCTGCTGCTGCAACAGCAGCAACAGCAGCAGCAGCAACAGGAGCAACAACAGCAGTAACAGCAGCAGCAGCAGACCGAAAGAGATACATAAACCCGATGAAACAAAAAACAAAAAAAAACAAAAAAACAAAAAAACAAAAAAAACAAAAAAGAAGAGAAAAATAAATAAAAACAAAAACAAACAAAGATAAACAAAGACAAGGACAGACACACAAGTTGCTGCTGCTCCTGCTGCTGCAGCAACATGCAGCAGCAGCTGCTGCTGCAGATAAGCAGCAGCAGCAGTAGCAGCAGATAAGCAGCAGCAGCAGGTGAGCAGCAGCAGAAGCACAAGCAGCAAATAAGCAGCAGCAGCAGGTGAGCAGCAGCAGCAGCAGCAGCAGCAAATAAGCAGCAGCAGAAGCAGATAGGCAGCAGCAGCAGCAGCAGCAGTAGCAGCAGCAGCAGCAGCAGATAGGCAGCAGCAGCAGCAGATAAGTAACGAGCAACGAACAGCCCTTTGTGTTTGGGGTTTAGGAAGCAGCAGCGGCTGCTGCTAATATTACATCGAGGGTTTAGGGTTTAGGGTTTAGGGTTTAGGTTCTAGGGTTTAGGGTTTAGGGTCTAGGGTTTAGGTTCTAGGGTTTAGGGTTTAGGGTTTAGGGTTTAGCATGGAGGGCTTGTGACGCACTGCCGATCGCCTGGTGTGCGGAGTTTAGGGTTTAGGGTTTGGGGTTTAGGGTTTAGGGTTTAGGGTTTAGATTCTAGGGTTTAGGGTTTAGGGTTTAGAGTGTAATATTTAGGTTTTAGGGTTTAGGGTTTAGGGTTTAAATCCTTACATATTGGGCTTGGAGCTAAAAATTGAGGGTTTAGGGTTTAGGGTTTAGTGTTTAGGGTTTAGGGTTTAGGGTTTAGGGTTTAGTGTTTAGGGTTTAGGGTTTAGGGGTTAGGGTTTAGTTATTATGGTTTACAGTTTAGAGTTAAGGATACAGAGTTTAGGGCTTAGGGTTTAGGCTTTATATATATATAAGGGTTTAGGGTTTAGGGTTTAGGGTTTAGGGTTTAGGGTTTAGGGTTTACTGTGTGTAGCCGCGCAGCATCTAGAGTAAAGCAGAACTATCAGCTAAACCCTAAACCCTAAACCCTAAACCCTAAACCCTAAACCCTAGTTTTAAATTCTTAAAAATAAACTAATACCATTTTATTCTAAACCCTAAACCCTAAACCCTAAACCCTAAACCCTAGTTTCGTGATCTGTGTGGGGCCCCGGGGGGCCCCCAGGGGGCCCCCCGGGGGCCCCCATCGATTGCAGGCTGCTGCTTTGCTGCTGTTTATCTTTTTTAGGGTTTTGTTTATATAGAATGAGAGCAGCAGCAGCAGCAGTAACTGCAGCAGCCTCTGGGCTCCTTGTTTAGGGTTTAGGGTTTAGGGTTTAGGGTTTAGGGTTTAGGGTTTAGGGTATGAGGGCGGCCTGTCGCCCTCATGCTGTGTTGCTGCTGCACAGCGAGGGCTTGCTGCGTCTGCCGCTGCTGCAGCAGCAGCACAAACCCCAGCCCCCCCAGCTGCTGCTG